GTAAATGCTATAATGCATGTACCATTTGGAGAGCTCAACACATTCACTGTATTTTCTGGAAATTCTAAGGTTTTTGATTTAGGCTGTTTTATTTTAATATCATAAAATTTCGCATTTCCATTTTTTTCAATAAAACATAATGTTTCTTGGCACTGTATAAAGATAACTTTCAAGATATCAGGAGTATAAATAGCCTCAAATGGTTTATCAATTCCGACATAAAGTATGATGTCAAATGGGTTTTCTTCAAAAAATTTATAAACCAATAGCTGTTTGAAGCATATAAAATTAATATAAATTAAATATTAAATAAAAAATTTCATAATCGTGAAAATAATCTTACCTTAGTAGATTCAGGATCACAAAATAGAATCAACCCTAGTGAATCATCTATATCAATTATTATATTTTTTTGGAGCCTCGTAAAAGTTCTACTTGGTTTCTTATAATTCTGAATCTGTTGGATTTTACCATAAAATAACTCGAGCAATTCTGTAGAATTATTCCAAAAAAAAAGAAAAAACTTTCGACTTTTTAGTTGAAAAATTTTTCTACATATAAATATATTTATGTTAAATGACAAATTTATATTATTTGTGATGATATGCAAATGCCTGAAATATCGATTTTTAGATTTTCACTTTTTAACCTAAACTTTGTTGACCGTGGTTGTACTTGATTAACAAATTCTGACCTATTAAAAATCCAAAAATCGCTATTCCAAGTTTTCACTTATTACTTAACAAATCTACTTACTTAAAAATATATTTACTTGGATCAAAACGAAGCTCACAATTCCTGTTAGTCATCACATTTCGTTGTAGGTATAAAGTAGGAACATGATTGGGATTTTCAAATAAGTTTTGGGCATCATCAGCATCAATTTGCGTTTCGCATATGATCATGCGAATAAATGGCGGTTGTTTTTCAATAAAGTCAAATGTTAATTTAACTTTCTGATTATTTAATACTTCTATTGAATTGATTTATATAAATAATTAGATACTTTGCTAAAGAAAAAATGCTTATTACTGGTGGTAACAGTCACCAAAAACGATTGATTGTGCAATTTAAGAATTAAAACACCAGGAATCTGTCAAAGTTTACTAATGCTAGAGTTA